ATGGCTCCGCTCAAACCTGGATGTTCCCAACAGCCTCCTCCTTTTTTGGTCCAAACGCGCATGCGAACTCACCGTTGTGAAAAGATCTTGCGCCACGACCTTCTGGGCTTCCTTCTGGTCTCTGGACGTACATCTCCGTGCCAGGTGGTCCAGGCTGGCAGATGACGCAGTCACCAGTGCCATCGGTGTTGGCGCGGGCAAAATCCCCACCACTCTGGAAGTTGCAAACGCAAGCTGGACCCATGTCCTGGACAACCCCTGACCACTCCTTGCCACCGCCATCGCTCAAATGCTGCTTATCGTAATAACACGTCTCGTTAGTCGTGCAATTGGCGCCGTTTTTGGTGCAGAACTTCTCGTAATGATCCTCGAACTCCTTCTCTTCCTTCTCTTTCTTCTCAATTGCCGCGCGGGTGATAATGCGCGTCTTATCCGTGCAAACTCCGTGCGCTGCCCACTCCTTTGTCTCGAACCGAGCCCACCAAGGCACCTTTCCGAACCCTGCCCGATTGCAATTGTCTGAGCCGTTAGGTTCATCTTCCACACACGCTTGTCCGACAGGGATGAAGAAATCCCACTGGGCGCAACAAGTGTGTCCGCATTCGCAAGCTGCTGATGCAACTGCAGACATGGCGAATAACAAAAGGATACGGATCGCCATTGTTTGAACCAAGCTACGCCAATTGGCACCTGAATACTTACTGGGAGGTGCAAGCTGCCAAGAGATTTGAGCCAACACCTCGGTCGGCATCGAATCGGTAATGGGATCGGATCGGCATATGCATCGGGTCGGGCTGCATCGGCACGGAATCGAAATCGACTCGGACAGGCTGCGGCAAGATGCCCAAGAGCGCCGTGCGTAAGCGTCGCGCCGCATCGGACCGCCAGAATACCCGAATCGAATCCGATCGAGGGTTCAGGGATCAATATCGAATCGGATCGATCGGATCGAAATGGACTCTGGGCGACTTCGGTTTCAAGCGAACGCCCTTGCGAAAAACCCAACCATCTGCAATTGTGAATACCATGGTGAAGCCGCGTTGTGGCACCGATTTCGGTGGAGCCCTCTATGGGGCCACGAGGCCCGAAAAAGGCCCCCAGAGACATACACAACCACCATGTCTTGCCAAGGCCGTTCTGGGGCCTGCGATGATGCATACAGCCCGGCCTCGACCAGGAGTAATGATACACCGTCCCAGGGCCCAATATGACCCTGTCCAGGTTTTGCGGTGGCGTATACGACGTGCCTTGTGTGAGCGAAAGAAAATGTGATACATATATATATATATATATATATGGAGAGAGAGAGAGAGAGAGAGAGAGAGAGAGAGAGAGAAAGAGAGAGAGAGAGAGAAAGAGAGAAAGAAAGAAAAGGAGAGAGATAGAGAGAGAGAGAGAGACAGAGACAGAAATAGAGAGAGAGAGAGAGAAAGAGTGAGACAGAGACATAAAGAAACAACACATGAGCCCGGCGAAGGACGCAACCATATGGAGTGCTGCAGTCGTGAGTATCGTTTTCCGTGGAGCTCCTCTCGGGGCTCGAAACGTATGAGGGGTGTACCAAAAGTGGGATGGCGGCGGCACGCGGACACTGCCACAGGGGCCACTCGGGGGAGCTCCCTATAGGGCCACGAACCGTGTGAGGGGTGCGCCGGAGTGGAAGTGAAACTGCATACTCCAGATTTCGCAATAAAGGGAGGGGGGTCTCATTTCGGGGGGGGGTCTCTTCCGGGCTATCTTGGAGGGCCTGGGGGGGTCTGGGGACGATGTTCTGGAGGGTTCTCCCGCAGGGGGGGGGTCTGAAATGGCCTGTCTGGGAGGGTCCAGACCCCCTCCACTTTATTAGGAAAACTGGAGTACGGATCCTGCCACCGGTGCCGTCGGTGGACCACCCTGTGGGACCACGGCACGTGTGATGGGTGCGCCGAGATGGAGGTGGAAATGCATGCTAACACAGCCCCTGGGGCCTTCGGTGGAGCACCCTGTGGGGCCACGAAGCGTGTGACGGGTGCGCCGACATGGATGTGGGACTGCATGCGGGCCATGCCAATTGGGCCTTCGGTGGAACATCCTATGGGGCCACGAAGCGCGAGGGGTGCGCCGAATTGTGGGTGGAACTGCATGCGAACACAGCCACTGGGTCCTTCGGTGGAGCTCCCAATGGGGGCACGAAACGTTTAAGAGGTGTGCCGAAATGGTTGACTGGCGCGGAGAGCAGAAACAGGGATGTGAGGAAGAGGAGGAGGAGGAGGAGGAGGAGGAGGAGGAGGAGGAGGAGGAGGAGGACGCGGGGCGCTGTCTCTTCAAATAGACGACCCCATATCACGGGATGGCTCGGACAACCAATGTGTGTACGTGTGCAATCTCAGCGGAAGCTTTCCCAAACGGTGCTTGCTCTTAGGGGGTTCTTACTTGGCTTCCTTGAGACGATGGCTGGGTTTCCCAAATCCTCACCACGGTGGCTACAGGCTCGCTCGTGGGCGCCTCGTGGGGGCTCCGTGCGCTCGGTGGATGTTCCCGGATTCGCCGCCTTGGCGTACGTGCCCGCTCGTGGCGCCACGTGCAGCCGAAAGGGCTCCCGAAGCGTCGCTTCGTTGGCGCCAGTGCCCGCTCCTTAGCGCACCGTGGGCGTCCCATGCGATTACACCACCAGCTTACACCACAACTAAAGCATACTATAGCCTGCAACGCATAGCTCACACCACATAGCTCACACCGCGAAGCGCACATCATATCGATTACATTGAGTAAGCATGCACCATGTACCTCACATCACATATGTTACACACAATAGCTCGCACCATCGCCACATAGCTCAGTCAACATAGCTTACACCACGTAGGCTACCCAACATAGTTCACACCATATAGCCTGCACCACACATCTTAGACAACAGTTCGCACGTACGCCACATAGCTTGCACAACATAGCGTATTCCACATACCTCACTCCGCAAAACTTACACAACACAGCTTGCACCACATATCTGACACGATATAGCGTTCACCTCCACAGTGTAATGACTCACTGCGTGGGGTCTGTGCTGGTTAACATATACTGGTATGTGTATCTACTTACAGAAGGAGAGAAACAGAGAGAGAGAGAGAGAGAGAAAGAAAGAACGATCAGAGATATTGGCATACGCACTAAACTGGAGAAGCATCCGCAGGACGAAGTCCTCAAATGCATTGTGTTTCGGCGCAGGCTCCCTATAGACCTCTCGACCCTGTTTCATCCCGCGTCGTTTTCTGACGGCACGGGTGCGCGAACACACTCCCCCATCGCCGAATTCACTGACTTTTTCCAAAACAGGACAACTCGAACAACACGTCCGAGGTTCGGGTTTCTGGAGGTTCTCTCTCGGTCCCCGGAGGACCAAAGGATGCCAAGAGACAATCAGGCGCAGTTCCTGGCACATCGGGTCTCGATATTCGACCCCTCGGTCCGCTGGATGCCCCTCCTCGACTCTGCGCTGCTCGATGCCCTTGGCCACCTGATGTCGCGCATCGCGCCCTGCGATGCGCGGTTATCTCTGCACCCTCGGGAGGAGGTCGCCGCGGCAATGATTCTCTTCGCAGCCCGTGCTGCCTGGCAGCGGAGAGGGGGCGGGGGGTGGGAGGAGGGCGAGGAGCAGGAGGGCGTCCACGGGCGCGCGCTGCGGGAGCCCAGGGCCAGCGGGACGAGGCGGGTGGACCAGATGCCTCCTGGATGGGGTCCGAGCAGACGGAGACGGAGGATCGCGCCGCATCGGCGAACCAGCGGCGATACACTGCCGATGCATCGGCGTGGGGAAACTCGGGCTCCACACCGAGCCACATCGCCGATGCATCGGCGATGCGGAGCGATCACTCGACCCCATCGACTCGTTCCCCATCCAAATGGCCTAGACGGACGTGCAAGCGACAGCCGCGGCTGCCGCGGCAGTCGTGGCACGAGAGGAGCGGGTCCCGAGGGGAACGGGTCCCAAATCCCGAAGGCCGTCCCCGAGCCGTGGAGGCTTGGAAATAGGCACCAACGCGAACACGTACACAAGAGGTTGCCTCCACCAGCGGGGGAATGATCCTGAATTGTGGTGCTGGCGGTAATCTGTCGGCCGCTCAGGAAGCCGAAGCATCACCACACCACCCTCGCCGAGATCAGGATCATCTTCCCTCGGTGGAGGCAACCGCGAATATAGGGGTTGGTGCCAACCTCTAGGCGTCCGAGAGCCGTTTTTGGCGATCCTGGTGCCCAGGAAAGTCTCTGAGAGCCGAGCCCGAAAGCGGCGAAACACATCGGGACCCGCACTCTGGACGGGACAACAAGTCGACCCCCCCTTGGATCCGCGGGGCGTGCGTCGAGCACGCCTTGTCGGAACGGGTGGAAGGCGGTTGGATGAAGAGGAGAAGGAGAGAGAAGGAGACGAGAAGAAGAAGAGGAAGGGGTTGGATGGGTCCATGACCCCCGTCCTCGATGAGTTGGACGCCCGGTTCACACGGGACAACCGCGGTTCGGGGTAACTCCGGTTGGGGCCCCCGAGGCGTGCATCTGCAGATCTCCCTGCCTGCCCCCAACCCTGATGCTTCGGGAGGGTTGGACGCCCGAATGACCCAGGACAGCTTCGGAGACCTCCTGACCCGGGTCAATCCAGACCCGGGTCAGTCAGACCTTGCAGAATCCTGCAAAATCCTGCACCCAAACCCGGGTCAATGCGAAGGATCCGGCAAGATCCTGCAGGACCCTGCACCCAAACCCGGGTCAATGCGACCCTGGCCCTGCAGGATCCTGCAAGATCCGGCGCTCTGGCTGACCCCCGTTTGCATTGACCCCCGTCGCGAGGCTCCCGACAGCTGCGGTCCGGGATACCTCCGGCCTGGGCCCCCCTGAGGCGCGAATCGGCAGCCATCCCTGCCTGCACCCGGCCCCGAGGGTTCGAAGCTCGGAACGAACGCCCCATGCAGAGTATACCTCGGGAGCCGTTTGCGTTCCCGCGGTGGCCGCGGCCGGGGAGGCCAGGGGGCCAGCGGCGGCCCCGCTCGCCGCGGCACCGAGGCGCGCGGTCCCTCGCGCTGCGCCAGCCGGATCTCGTGGTCGAAGATGAGCTGGTTCGACAAGATGCACACGAGCCTGCAAACCCCTCCCCTCGTGGGCGCCGCCGCCCGCTCTCACACCCCTGGGCTGGAGGTCTGCTCTGGATGGTGTGCTCTACGGGGTCTCGCGCTGCTGAGGCTCTGCGGTCACAGTCGATAGTCTGGACGCAGGGTGCGGATGCAAGGCCCTTGGGCATTCCAAATTTGAGGCCTTTGGATGCCGAAACTAGCTAAAGATTGACCGAGGAAGCAAGGATGCAAGGGTGCCCTTGCGTAAAAAAGGCGGCTTTACCATGGGTTCGACTGCGCTGTGGATGCAGGAGAATCGTCAGAATCAGCACCACGAAAAGCGACTCCAGTGAACGCAGCCGACAGAACACATGAAACGAGAGAGGAGAGAAAGAGAAAGAGAGAGAGAGAGAGAGAGAGTGAAAGAGAACACTTAAGTTCAGTAGGGGCACCGGACTGTCTAGCAAATGCGAAGTGGTGGGTGTCTTTCTGCTTTTCGCCATCGATTGATGGGCTTGTGGGGTTGTTTAAGTTCCCGCGGCCCGATCCGCAGTGGAGCCCCGGAATAAAATCGATGTCGGATCGGCGACCGAAATGAAACGAATCGGGTGAAGTCGGCAGCCGGATCGAAAAAAACATCGAATCGGCGGAAATCGGCAAACTAGAAAAATTTGAAAAACCGAAATCCAAATCGGAATCCGAATCAAATCGCAATCGGAATCGATCGAAATCGTGTCGAAACGAATCGGAAGAATCGAAATGAACCCAAATGCGCCGGAAGTCTGTCCGGAGTGCGCGGCGGGACAAAGTCCTGGGGCGGGGGCCCCTGGCCCCCCCCCCTCGCCATCGCTCGGGCGTCCATGTCCTGTGTACGTTTTTTTGATGTCGCGCGCGCAGTTCTCGCGAGACGATCCAGGATGCTCCTCGATGGCCCTCGACGAGGGAAACAAAGTCACCTGTCCGAGCGGTGCCAAGGCCCCGGCGTCCCGAAAGGCAAGAGGCGGGTCTGTGATTGCCCCGCGCTCGGCCTCCGAAGAGGCGACGCCGGGAGGGAGAGACCCCCCCCCCACAAAAAAAGGAGGTTAGCTCTGTGCCCGCTACTCTGAAGGGGCCCTGGGACACACACGCACACACACACACACAAACACACACAAACACACACAAACACACACACACACGCACACACGCACACACGCACACACGCACACACGCACACACGCACACACACACAAACACACAAACACACAAGCACACAAACACACACAAACACACAAACACACAAACACACAAACACACAAACACACAAACACACAAACACACAAACACACAAACACACAAACACACAAACACACAAACACACAAACACACAAACACACAAACACACAAACACACAAACACACAAACACACAAACACACAAACACACAAACACACAAACACACAAACACACAAACACACAAACACACAAACACACAAACACACAAACACACAAACACACAAACACACAAACACACAAACACACAAACACACAAAAACACAAACACACAAACACACAAACACACAAACACACAAACACACAAACACACAAACACACAAACACACAAACACACAAACACACAAACACACAAACACACAAACACACAAACACACAAACACACACCACGCACACACACACACACGCACACACACACACATCTTTTCTGGGTTTTTGTCTCCCCCCCCACCTCCCATTTTGTCCCACATGTTCGGAGGAATCGACGATTCACTGTGTCAGTGTTTTTTCCCCTCCTGATACTTGTGTGCAGTGAAAATGCGTCACTCATGGACGCGTGGTAACGACAGAAGGGCACCCCCCAAGAACACGAGACCCTCCGCTGGCCAAAACACATCGGACATCCACGGGTACCCTCCCAAGCATGCACAATAGCATCCAACAAACACGAAGAACATCAGGATACCCTCCCCGAGCCGACCTCGATCATCGACCGGCCCGAATGCATGAAGAACGGGAGGTAAAGATGCACGGTCCTTGGAGGCCGACAGACAGACAGAAAAACCAACGCCGTCCGGCGCGCAGGCGAAATATGGCAGCAGGTTTTGCTTGGTGCTGGCAGGAACAAAATCATATGCAACATCGAAGGCGCAATCCGCAGCGGAATGGGCCTTCTCGAACCAGAGCAGCTGGCGTCGCAAGAGGTGAGATGTGTAGCTGGATTATGTGGCCTGCTCGGGCACCGTCTTGTTCGACACCCTTGAGACATCTGCATGAGGTATGTATAGAGAACGACGCAGAGAGCAAGCTTGAAAACCATCGAGTACTCTTCTGTCCACCTCTTTTAAAACCAAGCCGCGCTCAAGGAGTACTCAATCTTTTTGCGGTAAACACCAGTCGAAATACTTCCAGCTCCCTGGCTGTGGTGATCAACGAATGTTTCTAAGTGCGTTCGAAATCAGACAACACGCCCCATGCCATTCCCAGTCGCTTGGTAAATGCTCATCTGGGCTTGCCTGCGCCGTGCGGAACGGCGCCTGAATCTACTTCGTGCGCTCGTCAACTACGATGCTGGCGCCTCCGGGAGCGGCCAATTTGATGTCGCAGTGCACACACATCAGCGGTGACCCGTCCCAACGCAGGCCCATCCAAAACACTTTTCCAGCGCCCGCCACAGCCTCCAGGAGCAGTTGCACATGGTGTTGGGACGTGCCCACTAACATCGTGTCGTCAGCGTTCAGTAGTCTTGAAATTTGCCCTTCGTCCAGGGCCTCGCGCGCGTCTGCGCGAAACTTGTTCCTGGCCTCTCGGATGGCCACAGACATCACCATCACGAGAAGGATAGGAGACAAAGGGCAGCCCTGTGAGATCCCGGACTCTTGTGGTCGCGATTGGGACGCGCGTTGCCCGTCCACTACGCAAAAGTACCTCTTCTCGCAGATCTTATCGATCATGTGCAGCATGGATTCTGGGACACCGAAAGCGCGAAGTGAATTAAGCATGGCGCCAGATATATTGAGTCGAAAGTTCTTCCAATCTAGTGCCACCATTGCCCTTTTATTAATTATTTACTGCGTGTGCCAGATCGACGTGTGTCCGCATTGCGTGTATTGCGTCCGAAATTCACCGCCCTCGGCTAAATCCAACATGTGTCTTAGTCAAGCTGTCCTCGGCCTCCGCCCCGTGCAACCTTTTGACTCGTGAACTTGCCAGGAACTTCCAAAACTGATAAGCAGAAGGCCGATCGGCTTGTAACTGTCGCGTTCGTCGATGGGCCCCGTGTTCTCGTAGATCGCGCAAGTGTTTGATTCCAATCGCTTGGTGCCGATTGCTCCCTCCAGCACTTGTTTATCATGTCCGTGATCCACTCTAGCTCCCCAGGCGTATCTGCAAGTGATTGCCAATACTCTGCTGGGATGTCGTCGGGGCCCGTCGCTTTGCCACGTTCGAATTTACACAGTGCTGCCTCGACTTGTCGATACGTGAAGTCCGCCTCCGATACAGGCGGAGAGGCAAGGCGCGACATTTGCAGGGCGAACATGCTATTGAACTTTTCAATGTACTCCGCCATGGCATCTGCCCTGCAGCTGCTGTCCACCAAATTGCCTTCCAAATCCTTCAGTCTGCTTTGCTACAGGGCGCGAGGCCGGCATGCTCGTCTCAGGGATCCGGAAGCAGCAATTTGATCATTTGCCCTGTCTTGTGTCGCTGCTTCATTGATTGTATTTTACTGCAGAATGGTTGTTTTCAAGCCTCGGTCAGGTACCTAATTACAAAGGTCGATCCAATCCAAAGTGCGCTTGGATATCCATAGTTTTTATGTACGCGTTACTCACTGCGTTTGTGTCGCTTGTGCAATACCGGCTCCTGTGTCTTCCCACATGCTTTTGTGTTTGTGCCCAGGTCCGTATGAAGGGCGGGTGGTCAGGACGCACGACCCTTGGAGGCTGAAGTTGGGTTTTTTTGTTGGGCAGCGGGCGACCAATGAAAACGTCAGAGGATGGGCCGCAGAGGCAAGGACACACGGGTTCGGGAGCGGCCAAGAGGGGGGTGTCCAAGAGGGGGGGGTGCAAATCATGACCGGCGGCATGTGCGCGGCCCATGGGGGGGGCCAGGGACGTAATGAAATAAAAAGAGGCGCCACGAAATCTGGCGAAATATCATGGCCCACGCCATGATATCCACCCCCCCTACTCATCACCCCCCTCTTTGCCGCCCCCGACCAGATGAGGGGGCGCATCCCTGCCGGGCGCGTTGACTGTGACCTCTCGGCTCGCTTTTTCATCTGGAAGCAACGTAGAAGTCGCCTGTGCGATACGGGCCTGGGTTCCCCTCGTGATCGCCCGACGCCCTCGGGCTTCCACTAAGTCGGGCGTGTCCTTCTACAGGGGGAGCTTGGGCGAAACATCATAGCTGCTCAAAACATACCTTCTTATACTCAAACATATTGAAAAATTGTCCCCTGACTATTTTTGAATATTCCCCCTGTAGAAGGACAGGCCCGACTTAGCCCTTCCAGCTTCCCTCTCTTGCCGAAAATGGAAGAAGAAGAGAAACACGTAAACATAAACTTTTGGCGCTCCGCGCGGGTTTCTCGGATCCGCGCGGAGCGCGAAAAGCTTATGCTTTTGTGGTCAAGTGGTCAAAGTCATGCATGGGGACGGGGCCTCACGAAGAGAAACGCCTAATGCGCGCCAAGATGCCAAGGTTCCCTTGGACCGAGGGGCAAAGAGCATGCAGGTGATGCCCGGAATCGATGGATGCAAGGGCGCCCTGCTGCAAGGGCTCATCTGCAAGGGGTTGTGGTTGCCCACTCCACTCCCCGCAGCATTACCACGGTCACCGCGCCGTGCCCCCACCGCCACCCTCGCACTATACGCGCACACGCGCCAACCAGACGGGGTCGGGTGGGCGGGTGGTGGCGGGGGAGGGTGGTGCACAGACACAGACACAGACACAGACACAGACACAGACACAGACACAGGCACAGGCACAGACACAGACACAGACACAGACACACACACACACATTCACACTT